GGAGGGAGGGAGCTGCTGCCCTGGGCCAACCGTCAACACACTGTCCTGCTGGATGTCTGGCTGGGTCTGAGGAAGTGCCAGAGGTGTGACTGATTCTGTGAAATTCACTGTCATCTGCTTAATGGCCGGGAGCAAACTTGCGGATTTATTTGGAATCTGCTGGGCTATCTATCCGAATATACATGACTCCCCATCCAAGCACCTGGTGGCATGTGATTTGAGAACGAGCTCCTCAGTCCTTTCAAGTGGATATTTAAATGTTCGAGAGCAAAGCAGTGCAGAGAAGGTGCCGCTCACGGAGACCAGGTCAGTGAGCACAGTCGGGCCCGAAGGAGCGCCCGGTACCAGCCCCGCCAGGCGGTGCCCACCACTGCAGGGACGTTCTCATATTCCTGGGGACTGACTGCGGCCAGGTCTGGGGGCTTGGGTGGAGACAGGAGTGCCCACAGGCCAGATGTACCCTTGGGTGTGTCACCCCTCCCTCAGGCACGAAGCCCAGACCCTGCAGGCCTCATCCCGGGGACCATCTCTCACAATCTCATTCAAGGTCAGAGGGGTAACACCCTCACCAAATCACAGCCTCACGGTGTATCCTACGGGAAAGTGGCCTTGGAAGTCTCAAACCTCACAGCCACCTGCCCTCAGGCAGTGAGCCCTGAAGCCCTCCCCTCCCCCCTTCCCTGCTCCCAGCCACTCCTGTGGACCCCTCACCAGTGTGGTGCTGTCCTTCCTCAGTGCCCTGTCTGCGGGAGGCCACCCCTTCTCTGCAGCTGCCAGGACTGCAGGTGAGACACTTTCCCAGCCCATGGGCTCCATGCTACCCTCACCTGGGAGCCCACCACCAAGGCGTCTACTCCTGCCTGCCTAGTCTTCCAGCCCCACAGTCGCCCTCACCCTCCTCCAGGGCACTGTGGCTACCATCCAACAACCCTGATGTGCTCAAGCTGCGACTCCGACTTCCGACCACGCCACCTCGCCTGGGCTTGCCTCCCCTGCACTGCTCCTTTCTGGATGGGGTCCTGGGGCCTTCTACCTGCTGGGCACCGCTTCCGAGGCTCTCTCAGCTGCCTCAGCTGCCCGCCAACTGTAGCCCTTACAAGTCTGTAGTGCAGGCTCCTTGCTGTGCCCGTTTCCTGGGCCTCCCCACCTGGCTTCATCGCTGCTGTCCTACTGAGGCCCCTTCCCAACTGCTACCCTCCCTGCATCCACCTGCCACCCCACCCTGGACAAAGGAGCTTTCCCACGATGACAAAACCCTGTGACTGTTACTAGTGGGGAGACCACGGGTCTGACTGGTGCCACCACACGTGGGGCCTCTGAGTGCACTGCCCCAGCACTTCTAACAAACCCTCCCCCTCAGGTGGCTCAGGCTCAGGCTTTGCTACAGCTTTGCATGGATCCCGTGGCCTTCCCTCCTGTGTGACCATTGCTGGCTGAGCTGCACAAACACCACGGGCAGGTCACGGCGTGAGCACAGCCTGGTGCCCCAGCAATGAGCAGCCACAGAGAGCCCAGGGGAGCCAAAAAGGGTCTGGGGACAAATGCCTGTAGGTGGCAAGGGGATAACGGATGTCATCTAGGGGAATAGGTGGGGTCGCCTCTGTGGGATCTGGGGTTTCAGTACCAGGGCCTGAGGACGGCCACTTTCCCCAGTGGAGTGAGCAGTGGTTACACTTTGATTTACGTAACTACCCTGCGGGCTTCTCCCAGAGAGAAATCACCCCGAGAGCAGCAGAAACCTAAAGGTAAGGCCAATGTCGGAGAAGCACCCTGGGCCAGTGTTCAAGGCCACAGCCTGCCATGCCCTTCCACACCCGGCCTGTGTCCATGGCCAGCCCTGATCCACATGCTGGTAGAATGGCCTCCCTCTGCACAAGGAATCGCCGCCCACAAGGTTAGGACTCCGACCTGCAGCACAAGCAGGCTCTGTGATGTGTCTGTCACTGCACAGGCCCGGGGAGAGGCCCTCACGTAAAAATAATAAACACGCTGCAGGGCCTTACTGACTCCCTAAGAAGCAGTAACACCTGGGAAGAGATTCAGAAGGTGCCTATGGACAAAGATCAGAGTTCCAACTGAAGTGGCTCCTTCTTTGGCCTGAAAAGACCATGAAAGTCAGGAACGATGGGGTCAGCCCCAGCGCATCCCTCAGGTCATTTAAAGGCAGGCCCATGCCCCCTCTGTGTGACCACCGTGGTCATAACCACCAGACTGTGTTGTTCACACCACGTCTGCTACTTGCTTTGGGAGAGTAACTCCACACCCTCCCACCTGCCTTGCACCACACACTCCTACCCCGGGCCGCGTGCCAGACCCCCCCCGCCCCACTTACCCGTACCAGTAGCGAGGGTCACTGGAGATGCAGTGGTTCAGGCTCCGGTGGGCCAGCGCCTTCTTCTTATTGAGGACAAACTCCTGCAACTTCATCTTCACTTCCGTGCTGGCCACGGCACCTGGCGCAGGAGAGCACAGGGTGGCGACTGGAGGCTCTGCCTGGGAAGGCAGCTCCGTGCCGAACGGGATAAAGGGGGCAGGGGGCTGGGGACAGCGGGATTCTATTTCAGGAGGGGCTGACACCGGAAGCTTCTAGAAGGCAGGAGGAGGTTTAATAAGAGGCCCTCCTCCCACCAAGGTTTTTACATGACTGTTCTACTACAGTGCAGGCCCAATCAGTACGCAGACCAGCTGCCGCTCGTGAAACCCACTTCTGGAGGATGCGTCAACATTCTTACATGAAGGACACCCTGCCCTGGCGCGTGGCTTGGTCGTTGGAGAGTCACCCTGTACACCAAGGAGCGGTGGGTTCAATTCCGGTCAGGGCACCTGCCCAGGCTGCAGACTGGACCCTCCTTGGTCAGGCTGTGTACAGGAGGCCCCTCCCCCCTTCCTCTCTCTCAAATCAGTTTTTGAAAAGGGCATCTGGACGGAGCACTGGGACAGAGCGGTTTCCTTCTCAGGAGGCGGCATCCAGAGGGGCGGGTGCACCCCAATGCATCCCTCCCATGGCGACGGGCCGGGATGGCACCTGCGTGCTGAGCTGGCTGCATCACGCTCCCGACCCCGCAAGGCAGCAGGCTCCCTGGCAGGCGTGCGAGGGAACACTTCTGTACCTTCCAGCCTCGCGGCTGCTGAGGCACCGAGCACTTCACCATCTGGACTGAAGTCAAGGTCCTGGGCTTCGTGGGGTTTTTGTGGCTGCTGGTTGGCCACAGCCTCTCCCACCCTTAAGGAGGTCAAGGGGTCATGGTGCCTACAGCTGCCCTGGGGCCCCTCAGCCACAGTGACTGCAGCCGAGTTTACAAACCACGGCCTGACTGTGAGGCTTCCTCACGTTTTCCTCTTGTTGTTGTAGGAACCACACTGCTAACACTTAGGAGTAAACAACATTGTCCACATAAAGAACCAGGGCTTAGGAGACCATCAAAATGACATCTAACAAGGTCAGTATCATAGTCCTGGAAGCATCTCGCTAAACTGCTTTCCAAATGCCTTCAAACACTCACCACCCGTGACTTCCTGGGCACCAGGGGCAGGTCCTCAACATCTTTATCAGTCCCCGGGATGACCTGACCCTGTGCCCTCACCTGCCAGTCCTCAGGATGACCACTGACCCTGTGCCCTCACCTGCCAGTCCTCAGGATGACCACCTGACCCTGTGCCCTCACCTGTCAGTCCTCTGGATGACCACTGACCCTGTGCCCTCACCTGCCAGTCCTCAGGATGACCACCTGACCCTGTGCCTTCACCTGTCAGTCCTCTGGATGACCACTGACCCTGTGCCCTCACCTGCCAGTCCTCAGGATGACCACCTGACCCTGTGCCCTCACCTGCCAGTCCTTAGGATGACCACTTTATCTCTCAGTACCCAGAACTTTTTAGTGCTACTGGCACTGCAGGCAAGCGACCAAACCACATGATGATGATGATGATGATGATGATGATGATGATGATGATTGGGGGGGGCGGATGGCCAGAGGACTGACCCTCAGGTCCGTCCACACCTGCTGTCCCAGGAGTAGACGGAAGGCAGGACAAAAGGCTGTGCTCTCGCCGAGTAGAATAAGAACATGCCCAGAAGCGCCTGCGCCCGTGGGCCTGCTTCCCGTTACAGAGGACAGAGCGCCTCGCACACCACTCCCTTAGGAAGCTACTGCCTCTCCTGCTTCGGCCACACCCCGAGCCTGCATCACGGCGCCTGAACTCCAAGAAGGGCGGGGAACAAACGCCCGGTCCCAGCAGGAACGACACGCAATAAATCCTAGTGACAGGCAGGGACAGTAAGACATGGCCAGCGGACATGTGCCGTCCAGCGGAGATGATGGCTCATTTGTGCTCAGGTGAAGCCCCCGCCAAGAAGCACTGCCCCCTGAGCTGCCGAAAGGATCCTCCCAGGAGGAGGGGTGCTGCAGGGCTGAGCGGCCCCGGGGCAGCTGCAAGAACTGTGGCTCCTTGACTTGCCCAAGGCTGAGGGGGGCACCTCATGAGACTCTCATGAGGTCAAAGGAAAACAAACCCAATTCCCCGAACCAGACTTCCTCATCTTGGAAACAACCTGGAGGCTCCTTCCCTGTCTAAGTGAACTGAATAGATGGTGCGTGCCTCCTGCTGCATCAGACTACGTCTACTTTACACGTGGTCACAGGGTGACCCTGCCTGGCCTCCTCCAGCCACCTTCAGCTGGGGGCTGGGTTACTGGTCCGTCCTCACAGGGGTGGGTGGGAACGACCAGAGTGCACATCCTCACAGCTCCCCACAGGCCCAGATGCAGCAAACACAAGTGGGGACCATAGACGTGCAACTTGGAGTGCAAAGGAAATCCACTTTTCTCCTTCAAACTTCTGAGGACAGAGCTTAAGAAGGAAGCTGCTGGTTTAGATCCTCACACTACTAGTTACATGCTCATCTCTCAACAGACCTTCTGCTGTACATCAAAGTTCTGGAATCAATGAGCCTCTTCAATAAATGAATAATACCAAGTGTCTCATTTCTATTTTTTAAAAGAATGTGTGCCGATTACCGCTCATTCATTTGAGAGGGTTTATAGAGAGCCCTTACTATGTGCCAGCACTGACCCGGCCAACATAAGAGACAGAGTCTCCTGTACAACAGGGTGGATTGTGAGTGTGTGTGTGGGGGGTGTCTAAGGAAAAGGCAGCCAATTAAACGAAACACAGGGAAGAGAGATATGAAGAAGAGTAAACCAGGTGGGGCCCAGCAGATGGGTGAGGGGAGCTGACCAGGAGGGGGCCCAGCAGATGGGTGGGGGGAGCTGACCAGGTGGGGGCCCAGCAGATGGGTGGGGGGAGCTGACCAGGTGGGGGCCCAGCAGATGGGTGGGGGGAGCTGACCAGGTGGGGGCCCAGCAGATGGGTGGGGGGAGCTGACCAGGTGGGGGCCCAGCAGATGGGTGGGGGGAGCTGACCAGGTGGGGGCCCAGCAGATGGGTGGGGGGAGCTGACCAGGTGGGGGCCCAGCAGATGGGTGGGGGGAGCTGACCAGGTGGGGGCCCAGCAGATGGGTGGGGGGAGCTGACCAGGTGGGGGCCCAGCAGATGGGTGGGGGGAGCTGACCAGGTGGGGGCCCAGCAGATGGGTGGGGGGAGCTGACCAGGTGGGGGCCCAGCAGATGGGTGGGGGGAGCTGACCAGGTGGGGGCCCAGCAGATGGGTGGGGGGAGCTGACCAGGTGGGGGCCCAGCAGATGGGTGGGGGGAGCTGACCAGGTGGGGGCCCAGCAGATGGGTGGGGGGAGCTGACCAGGTGGGGGCCCAGCAGATGGGTGGGGGGAGCTGACCAGGTGGGGGCCCAGCAGATGGGTGGGGGGAGCTGACCAGGTGGGGGCCCAGCAGATGGGTGGGGGGAGCTGACCAGGTGGGGGCCCAGCAGATGGGTGGGGGGAGCTGACCAGGTGGGGGCCCAGCAGATGGGTGGGGGGAGCTGACCAGGTGGGGGCCCAGCAGATGGGTGGGGGGAGCTGACCAGGTGGGGGCCCAGCAGATGGGTGGGGGGAGCTGACCAGGTGGGGGCCCAGCAGATGGGTGGGGGGAGCTGACCAGGTGGGGGCCCAGCAGATGGGTGGGGGGAGCTGACCAGGTGGGGGCCCAGCAGATGGGTGGGGGGAGCTGACCAGGTGGGGGCCCAGCAGATGGGTGGGGGGAGCTGACCAGGTGGGGGCCCAGCAGATGGGTGGGGGGAGCTGACCAGGTGGGGGCCCAGCAGATGGGTGGGGGGAGCTGACCAGGTGGGGGCCCAGCAGANTGGGGGCCCCAGGCCAAGGCTGCAGAATGGGCTGGTAGACACCACAAATTGAACAAATCTGTTGCTACCTTCGTGGCCTCTGAGACTGACTTCTTTTCTGTGCCCCATGTTACTCTGAGGAAGGCACATGGGCAGAGAATCACTTTAAGGATCAGGTGTGTGAATCTTGTAACTGCAGCCTTTCGAGCCGTTTTTACAGCAAAGTGAACGACCGCCTTAGTGAGACCCTTGTAAAGAACAGCAATGAGAGTCACCACACTCACCCTGACCTGCTAAGAGAGCAAAGACTTGCTTTTAAATTTATATTAAAAGGCAGTGTATCTCATGTTCTTAAAGGTAGTAAACCTAACTGAAACTTAACTGATTAAAGATCGTGTATCGATGTTGAGATACCAAAACTCCCACAAATTCTGAGAGTTCACTGTTCTATCAAATGAATGGCATTAATGGTATCAGAAAAAAAGACAACACACAAAAAACCACCTGCAGAATTATTTAAAATTAAAAGTAATGTAAATGTTTATAAGTAACCAAACTTTGAATTAAATATTTTAAAAGAAATTCATTTAAGAAACCCAAGAAACCAGACAGCAGTTGTGCCCTGCATCTCCAGGCACTTGACCAGCAGCCCGAGGCTGGCACAAGGCCCCCTCACAGGCAGTGCCATGGCTGCTGACGCCAGGGCCCGAGCTGCCTTCTCACAGGATCACACTCAGGTGGCAGAGCTGACCCCAGTGTGCCAAATATGCACACTGTGCACAGTTTATTATTAATAATAAAGCCTGACCACCCAAATCTATGCTCTGGAAACCACAGGGCTGGCTGTGACGAGTGTGGAGGGAAGCAGAGAACACTTGGCGCTAGGGAGGGCCGGGTGGGGCTGTGACGTGCAAACAGATCTAAGGTGTTTTCTGACGTCAAGTCTGTTCCTGTTTTGTGAGGCCGAAGATGTTATTAGTCCTGGAAGATTCTGCTAAACTAGGAGAACTAACTTAGAATGAGCTGCTTCTGAGCAATCGGAAAAAAGTGGTATCTGTTGGTAGCTGTGGCACAGACAACTAGCTGATACAAGTTAAACTACCACCCTGGATAAGCAGTGACTTCCTCACCCCAAAGAAGGGACACGGGATCACTGAGCTCCAAGCCCGCACGGGAGAATGGGGACCAGGACTCCGGACAGCGGCCGATCAGCACCAGTGCTGGCGGGGACATGGGGCAACAGGGACTGCCCACAGCTGTGGCAGCAGAAACTGGCACAGAAACGTGGACGACCACCTGGCATCGAGTATGAAAGCTGGACACACGCTCAGCCTAAGGTTTGCCATGCCACGCCGCAGGGACCTGTCCGCACCCAGAGTCATGTCTGAGGACAGGCACGGCAGCCCTGATCCCTGTGGCGCATTGACGCACGTGGCAGTGCGTCCGCAAAGGGCAGTGACCGCCAGTGAGGACGGCTCTGCAAGCTCAGTGCTGAGCGGGAAAGGAAGCACCGAATAAAGACCCCACTCATTTTGGAGGTGGGAGACACGACTGGGGTGTTAGGTGTCGGGGCACAGTCGCCCTCGGGAAGGAGAAGGGGTGGTACTGCCCCGGCGCAGGTGCGTGCCTGGGATGGAGCAACTTCAAATAACAGACTTTACAAGAAGGCTTTAGAAACACCACATGCTGTTGTGCAAATGGACATTTCATTTAAACAAAAGCCTGTTAAAATGACTTGTATAGATGGCTAACCATTTTCAGAAGTTGAAGCTGAAGGACCTTTGAGAATTCTGAGGTTTCGCATCTTGGTGGGGCGCGTGAAGTCTCCTATCTGTGAGCACTGGGCGGGCAGCTCAGCCAACGGTCAGTGCCCAAGCCCTGACAGGGACAAAGGCGCACCCTGACTCATTCCAGTGTGACTGGGGACAAGCAGGTGCAGCTGAGCACTGGTGCCGGGCGGAATCTGACAGACGGGACCACGGACACACACAGCTCTGCTGAAGAAGCCCTGGTGTCACTGCAACAGGTTGTCAAAAGAAAGCGGCACAGCCCTGGCCAGTGTTACTCAGTGTTGTACCCTCAGCCTGCGCACTGAGGGGTCTCAGGTTCGACTCCTGGCCAAGGGCACGTACCTGGGTTGCAGGCTCAATCCCCAGCCCCGGTCGGGGCTTGTGCGGGAGGCAACCAATCGATGTGTCTCCCTCACATCAATGTCTCCCCTCCCACCACTTACACTCTCTCTGAAAATCAATGGAAAAAACATCCTCAGGTAAGGATTAACAAAAACAACAAAAAACAACAAAAAAGAAGAAACCAGCACAACACACACGGGGGACGTGTTCTTTTCTCACTGTCTGGGTGGGATGCTGCAGCGGTGGATACGCCAGGCCTTACTCAGGCTGGTCACCTTGCATCCGTGTCCAGTGGCCCAGTGGTCAGCAGAGGGGGCTGTGGCCTCTTCTCTGAGACTCGGGAATTTTCCAAGGGGGACAGCACACAGTGCAGCCCCCCAGCTCAGATCAAGTCTGGTCTTTCTTGGGACAACAGATCACCCTGGTACCAGACACATGGCACAGCCACTATAAAAGCAGAATCGGGGTGGTCGTGATCCCTCCTCTCAGCTACAGGTGTCCCACAAGCAAACACAAGGCTCAAGGAACACACACAAGCTCTCAAAAGAAAAGAACCTGGGAATGTTTAAGATTGAGCTCCCGGGTGAAATGCACAAGCATCTGCTGTGCTTTATGTTTTTTAACATTTTCCAGTCTGTTAGGAGACTGCTGAATATGCTTTAAAATGCTAAAGTCAACCCAAAAGTTGTGCTGAATGCTCCTGCAGCCCCCACACAAGGACAAAGCCACTATGAGGCTGAAGCTAAGGGCCATGAACAGCCCCTGGAGTGACCCTGCAGTGACACCACGTGCTAGGACCAGGGAGCAAGGGGAGCACAGAGAACTTCGGAACTGGGTGTGGCCGTGACCTGGCCCTGGGAGTGGCACTCACTCTCTTTTCCTTTCTCCTTGTTTTTGAGTTGCTGCAGCTTCTGTTCCCGGTGCTGCTTCTCCAGCTCCTGCTCCTGGCGGTGCCTCTCCAGCTTCCGCTGGTGCTCAAGCAGCTCCTGCTGGTGCTTCATGGCCAGCAGCTCCTGCTGGTGCTGTGGGAAGGGAAGGAGACAGAGAGATCAGAGCCAGGCCGGGACAAGGCGACACACATGACAGAATCAGCAGAGGGCCAGCTCCTGTGGGTGTGGTGCTGATGCTGCTGCTGGTCCCGCCCCACAGCCAGCATTTCCTACAATTCTATCCAACTCTGTTCAGTGCGCAAGCATCTGGGCTGCTCAGGGCCCAGAGGTCTCCTGACCTTTTCAGTGTTAAAAACAAAGATGAAAACAACTGAATCCTAGAAGAAAACACACAGGAAGACTTCCGTCGTCTTGCAGGCTGGGAATGTCTTTTTGAGAACGACACAAAAGCATGAAATACGCATTCCTGCAAAGGCGCAGCCAACCCACCCCTGGGACTCGCCTGTGAGACATGGGGCACATCTACCCAAAGCCATGCCCAACGTGCCTGTGAGCTGAACACAAACTGTGCTCACACGCTGGACCGCTACCGCGTGAGGAAAAGGGATAAGCTACAGGGACAGGGAAAACCACGGGCAGGCTGTGGACACGCGGTGAGCGTGCCCACCACCGACAGCGTGGGAACAGGGAGTCAGCAAGCAAAGCTACTTCTGTGACGTTCAAGAATAGGGATTCCCAAGACCTGATGACAAAAATCAGAGGCAGGCCATAGACGCTGAGGGTCACCTCTAAGAGCTTTCCTATGGAGAAAAAATTACATGCTGTCCAGTTACAGGACCCAGGGGACAATGGACCTGACAGGCACAACCCATGCCCTTCTCCCTGTTTGCCACCTGAACTTTCAGATGACTCTAGGTTGCAAATGGCACGTGGTCAGAGGAGTGCTGGGGCCAGACTGCCCAACGTGACCTGGCTCTGCCACACACCCCTCAAGTACTGAACTCCTCACACCACGCTCAGGGCTGCTGCGAGGACTGTCAGACAGCCTCTGGAAGACACTTAGAACAGGTGGCACAGCTTCTCGTCTGCATTCTGCCCTCCTCTAAAAGAGCTTGGCTCCTTCTGATGTGGCAATGTCATCCTAAAATCAAAACGAGGCCCTAGAGGCCTCCAGGGAAACAGCACACACAGAACAGTGCAGGGGTGAACTCCAGGAGTTTTACGCTGTGAAACGGGCTCCCAGTTCTGCAGTGCTGGTGGCCAACAGCCAGCACAGCCTGGGTCGAGGGCCTGGCTCCAGCCTGAGACCTGGCATCACAATGTAAGTCTGCACATCAGCTAGAAACGTGCAAACAATCCCAACCAGTGGTGCTTTCTCACCGCTTAAGAGGAAACCAAAGTACACCCTGTGACTAAACAGTGATGAAGTGAGGGTGGAGCATGCCCCCATTGTTAGTTTCGACCCAGGACACATGCTCAGAGCCACGGTGGGGCCTGACATCATGCTCACGAGGACAGGCACCCATGGGGAAGGACTCTGCCTGAAGGTGTATTTGCTGGTCTGGATAGATGCAGAGCATTTGCCTGAGGGCCGAACAGTGTCCTCATTGAGACACATCCCGCTCCTGGTTATGGCGCGTCAGCAGCTCCGCCCTCACGTCAGAAATCTCAAGAAACGTGCACCTGGCCGGCCTGTCTGCTGCTCAGGTTGGGACAGTGAGTGATACAGTGACATTCCGAACAACGCTCTCATGGTGAGGTGTCCCTCCCCTCCGGTACTGCTACACCCCATGGGGCCCACGGCCGGCCGGGTCCCTTTCAGTTGTTCAGTACTCATTTATGCCTAAATGAGGAGCGTTCGCTTAATAGTCTCTCAATATTTACTTTTGAGCAAGGACCCAGAAGGAAAGCGATCTTTCAGTTATAGTTACAAAAAGACTGGAAACCACCACCACAGATACTGGTGATTAAAACTCAAGGATCACAGAACTCCCAGAAAAACAGCATTGTTGTGGATTTTAATGAAAGCAGCAGACACAAACAAGGCTCAGGCTCCCTGAAGCACCCCAGAGCATCACTGCACGACCTTACTCCACCTCCGGCTTGGATGGATACTACACAGTATTGGATTTATATTAAAACCCATAAAACAGATGGGAGACGAATGAATCCGACCTTGGCAGCCACCCTCGGGATGCAACGTCTCATGTCAGGCCTCTCTCTTAATCTTGAGACAGAGCTGTCCTCTACACGCAGATTTAGGGACAGGGGGACCAACTACACCGTGAAGAACGTCTGCTCCACCCTCCGCACTCACACATCTCACTGGGGCACCATCTGCAGGGAAGGCTCCCCGCTGCCTCTCCACGGGGAATGGGGGGATGTGTCACAGAGCGTAGTCTTCAGGCTATAGGAGGGGTCTCTGAGATGTGCTAATTTCCACGTGTGGTAAAATCCATAGTTATTTGCACCTAGTATCTCGCTAACCTGTGTACAGGTCAAGACTATTCTGTGGAGAAAGGAGAATTGCTAATAAGCTATTTTTTGCAGATTGAAACGATCATGACCAATTTAAAATGAGACGTCTCCAACTTAATTTTTCTAAGAAAAACAACAACAACAGATCCCATTACTCTAATGAGCATTTAGCACTGAATTTACTTTCAAGCCAATGCTGAGCTCAGAGCCAAAGCGTGGGCCCTGGAATGAGCTTCTTTGACTCTGACTAGGAATCGAACATACGAATGTTCAAGTGGAAACCCAGCCAAATGTCTGCTCTCACATGTGAACTAAAACAAACCCTGCTACACGAAGGACTGACACTGGGGGCAGGTACTGTCCCGGCCCCAGCTGACGACAGAGACCTTCAGCCTCCGGGGGGCTGGCAGCTGACTCACTCAGAGCGCCTGTTTACCCTAACGATTAGTAACCGACCGGCTACTGGAAGCGTAGCAGTCAGATTCTACTAAAGCACATTAACACCGCCACAGGGGTGCGTGCAGTGCTGCTCGGCCTTCACCCCTGCACCCAGGGTAACACTATTTTCTCCTTCAAGGCTGGGTTCCAGCGGCACCTTCATAAAGACCAGCCCCCCCGCTAGGAATCCTGGCGCCTTCCCTCCCAGCTCACCACCACCTGGCACACTGGCACTGGGGCCCCAGACTGTCTGTGGCTGGGCTGGGGCTGAGCCTGCCTTCTGCAGCGCTCAGCCAGACCTCGAGCAGCGGGTTGAGCATGACTGTCCACCTGCCCACGACCGAGCTCCTGGACCCTCATGCTGGGTGTATTCAGGGCTCCCCAGCCCCCTCGAGGCAGACAGGCTCAGGGACGACACAGGGCTCCAGCAGGCGCAGCCATGAGCTCCCTGAGTGCGCTCCGCTGGCTCGCTAGTACAGCCTCGGGTGACCTGGAGGCCAGGGCTCCAGGCAACATCTCTTCAGCCGCCTGCAGCCAGGTTTCCTTTCCACTTTCTCCCTGTTCCTGCAAGGAAGAGTCACGCCCTCAACTAGACAGCTCGTAAAACCCTGTCCTGCCCTGGGAACAGCGCCATTCACACCGGCAGACATGAACAGAAAGAAGTTCCTCCTCACTAGCAAAAAAGCACGAATTCAAACAACGCAGGAATGATGTTTACTTCTCACTGTCAGGCCTGCGGAAGGGAAGGTGCCAGCTGCCTGCACCTTGGGGGGAGCACGGCCTTTCTGCTACTATCCCAGCCCCCGGCTTTATTGTCGCGCCCACACTGATGATGCTACTCACATGCGGTCCACAGAGTAGTCAAGTTTAGAGAGGCCGGCAGAGTGGTGAGTGCCAGGCTGGGGTGGTGTCAGTGGGTGAGTGACACTGAACTTCAGACCTAAAGCGGCCCAGGTGGCAAAGTCTAGGTGAAGTGTATTTACCACAGTGAAGAAATGGCTGCGGGTCTACAGAGGCACCAAATAACACAGCAATTCTACCCCAGAGAACTGAAAGCCGGTGCCCCAACAAAACCTGTGCCTGCTCACAGCAGCACGGCCCACAGGCCGAGGGGAAACGGCCAAGCGCCCAGCGCCAGGTGGACGGACACCGAAACTGAGGCCCGTTCACACAAAGGACTGTCACTTGGCCGTGAAGAGGAACAAAGCCTGACGCTCGCTGCCATGTGGGGAGCCCTGACCACGCGATGCCAAGGAAAGGAAGCGGGACACCGAGAGCCACGTGTGTGACTCCCTTCCTAGGAAACGCCCAGAACGGGAACACTCACAGAGGCAGAGGGCAGACGAGGACGCCTGGGTGGACGACGGGGCCGGGAGACACTGATAAAATGTTTCGTAACTAGACGGTGGTAATAGTCGCACAATATCATGAATGAGCTAAGTGTCACCGAATAGTATACTTTAAAATAGTCAAACAATGAATTTTATGCTATGTAATTTTTACCACGATAAAAAAAAAATGACTAAGGAAAAAACTAAGGATTTTCCATAAAAGAAAAGGGAACAGGCACAGCTGTTTCTCATGGGGATCTCCGTCTGTGGGCCAGGGGACAGTGAGGGTGGCTCCTGAGACCAGTGACGACAGTGCAAGGCTGCCGCCTGTGCTGTGCTCCACATGGTCTCGGAGGGTCTCCTGGCCCTCCCGGCAGCAGGAGGGGAAGGCAATGGAGGCTGCGAGGCAGAGCCTGCCAGGCACCGGAGACACAACTGAACTGGCACGGGAAACAAAAACGCACCTGCCAGGAGCGTGACCAGAGTCCCAAGGAGCACTAGAAAACCATAAGACCACTCCACAGATGAGCACACTCACCATTTATCTACTACCACCTGCAGAACCAGCTGCTCTAGGAGGGGAAAGCCATCTCTGCACACATCCTGAGGACCCAGGAAAGGCCTCTGCCCTGGGAGAGCCAGAGAGTGGGGGACTGACTCAATCCCACAGGAGAACGGGAGGGAGTTCCTGGGGTGACCCTGTGGGACCCGTGACATGGGGAAAACAGGTCCCACTTTCCCTGGAGCTCCACATGACCAGGGTCAGAGATAGGGCCTTCAGGAGACACCCTTGGCCCATCAGGACCTCAGGACAGCAAGTCACCCACATCTGGGGCCCAGCTTTGGCAAGAGCAGGGTCCTGGGATGGGATGGGCCCTGCCACGGGCCATTACGGAGGTTGTCAAAGATAACTTTTCAAGATCTGAATGTGGCCATCTAAACAGGGAACATGCGCCAGACAAGGCCTGGGGCCTGGGAATCCAGCTTCATGGTTAACCCCATAGCACTTTTTCATTTGAAACACTAGAAATACCTATTGCTTTGATAAAATAAAAAGAATTAAAAATACAATTCCCAAAGCAGCAAATTTAGAAAACAGTTTTAATCATTTGTGCTATCCCAGTTGGCAAAAGTTCACAATTTCTGGACACAGACCTCCCCATGCCCAAACTCTGGCTCTCTCACACCCCACCTCAGGTGCAGGGCTCAAGGGGACCCCGTTCTGGGGAGGGGAGAACTAACTATGCAGGATGCAGGCAGAAACATGGGACCTGAGTCAGCCTGACCTGCAGAGACACTGTCAAGGTCACGTGCAGTCCTGAGCACTGAGACCCATTAAAGGTTTCCTGCACCCAGAGTTAACAATGTATATCCGCTTTAAAAATGATGCCCGCCTGGCTGGGCTTGGCGCAGTGGTTGAGCGTCGACCTAGGATCTAGGTGATTGGGGTTCGATTCCCAGTTGGGGCACATGCCCGGGTTGCGGGCTCGATCAGTGACTCTCTCATCATTGATGTTTCTATCTCTCTCTCTCCCTCCCTCTCCTTTCCTCTCTCTGAAATCAATAAAGATATATTAAAAAAATAAATAAATAAAAATAAAAATGATTCCCTTCTTATTTACAAGTTTCTGTTCAAATTCACTGATGATTTAAGGACACTAATTAGACTGCGTGCTCAAGAACTCTGTCTGGCAAACACTCCTGCCAAATGCCACTAACAATATGACAGCTTCAGAAGAGGGTAAGTCGTCCAAACAAAAGCCGCTGATGTAATGATACAATTACAAAGTTTAAACGGCTTTTATGATCCCCACTCTAAATGGAAAAACAAACGATTAAAATGCAGAGAACGTGTGACCTTGCGAGTCCTCCTGTGTGTGGAGAACCAGGTCTGAGCTCCTTGGGACACGGGCAGGAAGGGCACCTGCCCTGCACAGGCTGACGGGGGACTCGGAAGGACATTCCTCCACCTCCACGGCAGGGATGCAAACTCCTAAAGTGCCAGGTGAGGACAGGAACAGGGTCAGGGAAGGAAGACCTGGCCCGGTGCAGGCGCAGGACCCGGCCACAGGAAGCCCGCTTGCCCCGTAATGCAGCACCACCCTCTCGAGGGCCTTGATGTTTCCCGCTGCCCTGATGACCTCACATACATGGGGTTTGCTTATTTCTCAACATCTCATTTTTTTTCTACGCGCTACAAATTCAACTAACTCCTACATGAAGCGTGTCTAATGCAGGCTAGCACGAAGCACACCTGCAAGCTCAGGTCACTGGCGCTGAGTGCTGCCACTGTATTAGGCACGAGGTCAGCAGTGTGCGGAGCAGAGAAAATACGGGGAAAATGCAATTCAACAGGTGGCTACCTAGGTCTCCCTTCAGCCAGGTGCATCTATGTTGGGCCTGCAAACCTGTGTCCAGGTGAGGAAAGGTGGACAAGTGACTGACGGGGGCACACAGTGCTCTGGCCTCGAAAGATGAAGGGCAGGGAAGGGCCCGCTGGCCATGAGGAGCCGGGTGAAAGCGGGCCTACCTGGACAGATGGGAGAGATGGCCCGTGCGGACCTTCAGTTCTGTGAGGTGGGACGGGTGCAGGACATAATGGCAGAAGTCCTGAGGGACTGCATGGAAGAGTGCACCTCCCGCTCTCACAGGCTGGCCCCAAGCCCTCGTCTTTACACTGCTTGCTGGAGTCACAGAAACATGAGGCTGCTGCTTCACAGACAACACAAGATGGACACCTGTTAGGGCTCCTGTCATTACTGAAAGGCCTGCTAACCGAGGCCACTGTGTGGGCTGCAGGCAGTCACCTGGAGTAACTTCAACAACCCCTGACATTCGGCTGGCAAGTGACCATTTCCTCCCAGTCCTAAAAACCAGAGTCACACTGTCCCCACTCATGGGTAAACCCACTGTGGGCCGCCCAGAGCCTGCCGTTCCCCCTGCCCACCGCACAGGCAGGACCAGGGAGGGGAGACTTTCCCATCAGCAGGTCCAGGCCGAATTTGGTCCCATGGGCCTCCCTCTCGTCCCAGCCTCCTGGAAGAGCGGGTGTGGGAGCGTGTGTGCTCGGTGTCAGGGAAGAGAAGGGCATTGATTTTTTGGACAAGAGCACTTGTTGAAAAATAAGTCACAGTGGCTGCACATGTCCCAATCTCCATGGAAACTAGGGACACCTTTGTCACCCAGAATTACTATGCTCCTCTGAAATCTAAAGGCAGAGCAATAAGGCCTGGACATCCAACAGCTCAGCAAAGCATCCTCTCCTTGGTTTGTCCAATGCTGATCTTAGAAGGCCAGCCAACTCAGAGTGGAAAGGGGCCCTGACAGCCACACATCAAACCAACAAGAACCAAAGCAATGATCAAGATGGCCAAGACCAGGCCTCCAAAGCAGAGACCTCCCATAACCTGATCTCTCGAGGCCCAAGGACAGAGCTCTCAGACCTGCCTTTGGGGGTACATGCTTGTACTCTGTGTGCTTCGGGATCCGTGAGAGAGGGACTCAGAGCTGCCACTGGGCCCATTCTCAGGGACACACTGAACACCGCGGTGCAGCTCCCCGAGCCAGGGGACACTGCAGGGAAGCCTGCCTCACCCAGCAATCTGCTGGAAAGTCCACAGAGCTGGTAGCACAGCCTGGCACACTGACCTGTCCCTCGTCTTCTGATGTGGTTAAGTGAACAGCTAAGTGCTTCCTGTGGACAAGGGGAGAGAACTGGGCACCTGAGGTCGAGGGCATTACTGGCCAGAGGCAGAAACGGAGGGATCATGTTACTTTGCATGGCGCCGTGGGCATGTGCCATCGGGGTGCAGGCTCATGCCCGAGCAAGCCAAGCCTGGCTGAGCGGTGCCCACCCACAGCACCATAAATGCCTGCGGAGTCTCTATGGAAAGGGCATCTTACGCATCAGGTAGCACAGGGTGTGGGCTGCCCAATACAGTAGCCACAGACGTGGCTACAAGTGCCTGAAGGGAGCCAATCCAAACGGAGACGCCCTCTCTGTGCCTGGTGCACAATGGTTTGTCAGACTTGGCAGGAATAGAGCTTTCTATACTGATTACACGCTGAACAATATTTTAGAAATGTGATGTGAAATAAATATTTGAAAAGTAATTTTACCTATTGCTAGCCAGGCTCCCAGTGGCCCCCAAGGATGCCGGCTTCCTGGTATCTGCCCCTTGTCTGCGCCCCTCCCAGGATGGACCAGGATTGGTCTGCGTGACCAGGAGATGAAGGTGGGAGAGGGGTGCGTCACTTCCAAGGTTAGGCCGCAGGAGACACTGAGGCTCCCACCAGGAGGCTGTGCTGTGAGGGGCCCACGTGATGAGGACCTGAGGCTTCCTGTCCACAACCACACGTGAGCCTGGACATGGGTCCTGTGGCCCTAACCGCAACCCTGTGAGAGACCCTGAGTCCCTACCGCCAGCTGAGCTGCTCCCAGGTCTCCGACCCACAGAAACTAGGGGTTAATACATGTTGGTTGCTGTAAACTGCTAAGTTCTGGGGTAATTTATTACATAGCAATAAATAACTTACACAACCTGGGTTTTTTTGCTGTTTCCTAGTAGCCACTAGGAAACGTAAAATGCCCTACGTAACTGTAACATACCCTGCTTATTTCCACGGGGCAGTGCTGCTCTGCACGACTCTAATACCATGAGAGCTTATCATGATCTCACCTGGTCAACCGCACAGCATCCCTTCACTACATGTCACCAATACGTGTTTCTTTCTTATGTATTTAATTTTAAAATCTGGGATCCAATTCGGTATTTGTAGAGAGTAAGTAAGCCACCAAAAGATCTTTGCTAGTTTTTCTTACTCCATTTAAATATAAGAAAATGTTAAAATCTCTTTCCAGTTACAAAAGATCTGTAAGAAAAAGTGAAAAAGGCAGACACCACCCAAGATGACCAGGTTACTGTTCCCGCTGGCAATTTTCCTGTGTCACAACATACACGTGCAGGCGAAACTAGATGGGAAGCACCCTCCCTGCTGTAAGTACATCCCACACTGGATTTTGGACACTGGTCCCACTATGTACCATGTCTGCCACACACATTTACTTGGCCAGCCCTGCTGCTGGGAAGACAGGCATCCGGTGATCTGTCCTCACAGCCTGGTGAAGGCTGTCCCTGCCCGTGAGTCCTGCTGGTGCAGCTGGTTGCTGGGGGTCACACTCAGCAGCTAGGGTCAAGGTGCAAAAGCAAGTGCCGGCGCCAGGACTCACCTTGATGTGCTCGTGCAGCTGGGCCTCATGCTGCCGCGAGAGTTGCTCGTGCTGCCTCTGAAACTCGGCGATGAGGATCTGCCTCTGCAGCTGCTGCTTCTGCTTGAGGGCCAGCAGCTCCTGCTGCAGCTGCTGCTCCCGGAGGGCAGGCTCTGCCACGGGCAGCGGAAACTGGTGGTCCAGGCGCAGGTCCATGGGCACTGCTGAGGGAGCCACCTGCAAAGGCAGCGCAGAGGCCACGTCCACTGGGGAGAGAGCACAGCACAGTGCATGGTCACTGTGAGCCACGGCGACCCGCCCGAGCCACTGCCCAGGCCCCTGGCAAGCAGCAAGGCTTCCCACACGCTAAAGGCCATTTCACATTTCGGATGCCCCTTCCCTACTCTTGCCCAACAGGCTCACAGTGCAGGACTCAGCAGCCTCCGAGGGGATCCACTCCTCAAGTGCAAATATCACAGCCATCAGCAATGGTCAGACCAGGGCACAGGCACGAGCTCCCCACTGCACCCCTCACAGAGGCCTGCGAACTCACAGGACCCTGCTGTAGGCTCATCGCCTTTTCTAACAGCACGATTGAAAGTCACAGGGAAAAGGGAAGAAAAGGCCCAGGAGAGGGCTGAGCAGCACTACGCAGGGAGGTGACTGCCGCGCCCTCCCTCCCTCCCTCTCGCCAAGTCACTGAAGAGCTGTGTACCCGAACCACAGAACAGTGTGTGCCACAGAGTGGTCCAGACAGACGCTCAGGACGAGGGCCCGTTTCCATGGCGAGCAAGCACGCTCTCAGCAAACATGTTTACAGGCTGCAGCCCACGGAGCGCCTCCCAGCTGGCCTGCACAGGCCGCGCGAGCCGTGTCGGCTGCACAGAGCCTGTGGCCTCTTCCCAGAGTGCAGCCGGCTGGGGACAGCACGAGTGATCGGAATGAGACACAGCCGCGGGATCCGTCTTGATGCTGAGTCGACACCGAATCAAGGCAAGGAGAGGAGCACAGGAGGAACGTGGGCTTTCAGTTATGGGCACCTCGAGACAGACCGAGGTGGGCGCTCCGCGCGGAAGGGTTCCCACTTTGAAAATACATGGACAACCCGGCCAGGCGTGGCTCAGCGGTTGAATATCGACCTAGGATCCAGGCGATCAGGGTTCGATTCCCGGTCAGGGCACATGCCTGGGTTGTGGGCTCGATCAGTGACTCTCTCATCATTGATGTTTCTCTCTCTCTCCCTCTCCTTCCCTCTCTCTGAAATCAATAAAGATATATTTTAAAAAAAAGAAAAAAGGTATTTTTAAAAAATAAATAAAAATGAAAATACATGGACACAGGCTGGTACTATGGCCCAGGGACCCTTCTGTGGTGGTGCTCAGACAGGCAGTGGCTGCCCTCTCCCCCCGCTCTGATCATAAAGCCCCCAGAGGAGCTGAGGGGGGAGATCAAAACAGGCCCACAGCCCCACCTCCTTTTTCAGAAAAGTTCTCCTACAGTCTGCTCTAGGCTCCATTTTTCATCAACCAAGAGAACCAGGCCTGGGGGCCGGGGCAGGAGACTGGGCCTTGCCCTGAAGGTGGATGCAAGACTCAGATGGGAGCCCTGACTCAAGAGACCAGGGTCACCAAGGACCAGTCCCTCAGGGTCACCAAGGGCCGTCTCCGCCTGGACTCTCAGCATAGGCTACGTTATGCACATCACCTGGTCCCAGAGTCTGCCTGGAAGTGGCTCCCCCCAGCCCCCTTGCCAGAGACCTGGCCCCCAGGCCACCAAGCCCTCCAGTCACTGCCCAGCCCCATAGCCCATAGGTTCCAGTAAAAGAGCCCATAAGTGGAACCGTCCCCTTGGGACAGAGCATTTCTGTGATCACTGCCCAGGTGGCAGGTCCCATGCTGGTCTTTCTTATGAGGCTCAGTCGGGGAAGACTGGGCTGAGGGAGAGGCCGGATGTGCAAAGCCCTGTGCTCTGACCTGAGCCGATGCAGGCACAGCACTCTGAGCCCATGTCCTGACAAATGTGTCACCCGCTGCAGCGCACGGCTCATGGAGGCAGAGCTCAGGAAGCTGATGGGATGGAGGCTGCATAGGACGCGGGCTCCCTCATTCCTTTCCACCCCAAGCCCAGAGCAGTTGTAGCACAGGAACCAAGGAAGAGACAGAGCTGCCCAGAGGGCAACCAGCAAATTCTACACATTCTATCATTTTAAGAAGCTGTCCTCTCTCTTCTCTTTCAAGCACTAACAAGCAGAGGCTAAGCACCAGCTGACAGTTTCTCTTCTATTCTCCAAATCAGTGAAGAGCAACCCCTAGCTTTTTAAATGTATGCATTTTTGTCTAATTGGGTATCAGACTTGACCTATTAAGAGGTTTTCATTTGACCTTTATGTGGGAAAAATCTACACAAATAAAGAGTTTTCACGACCAGGCCCAGGATCCTAACCGCCCCCCCCCACACACACACGCTGAGAACACTGGAGTTTTATTAATTCCCCTGCTTTTCTGTTTTGATCATTTCTATTATGAAAAATACAGCAGGGGGAGCATCAGAATGTCCAATAGTTAATCTCTTAACTGAAAATAGCCCTGGCAGGGAGGCTCAGCTGGCTGGGCACTGTCCCCTGCACCGAAAGTCTGCTGGTTCGATTCTCAGTCAGGGCACGAGCCCAGGTTGTGCGCTCAGTTCCCAGCAGGGGGCGTGCAGGAGGCAGCCGATCAAAGTTTCGCTCTCACACGGATGTTTCCCTCTCTCCCTCTCCCTTCCTTTTTTCTAAAAAAAAAACCAATAAAAAACTTAAAAACCTGAACATAAAACAACTTTGAAGGGACCCTTTTTATTAACCCTAAACTTGTGATGAGCCACTGTTTCCACAGGAGTTCATCTGCTGCCGGTGTGCAGGGCCTCCCGCTCTGTGCTGGGTGCTGGGCGCAGGCCCACTGTGGGATACCACATTGGGGCCGGGGCGGAGGTGTCCTCAGCAAATGCCATCACTATTCGGACTGCAGCATTTCCTCCATATGTGTTAACGGTTACAAAGGAACGAAGTCCTGCCTCAGTTTACCTTTGTGAGGTATCACAGAAAACGTCACTCCTCTGCCACAGAAAGTTTACAGCCGGGCAGAGAGACTGAAAAGGCGACCATCGCCCACGTCAGACACACCCAAACCATCTCCTGCCACGTCTCCACCTCGCTGACAATGCTCCACTCATGGTCACACACAGCGGGCAGCGCATGGGGGCCACAGAGACCCACGCAGGGTCAAGAAACGCTGCCCGCTCACCCCTAGGGGGCCCCGCCGACATGCCAGGTGGGGGGAGTGCTCGAAGCAGTCCCCAGCCCTGCCCTGCACACCAGCTGCCGAGAGAAGTCACAATCCCCATTCATCCGGGCTCCGAGGTGCGTCAAGCGTGACTTGTATGGATCTAGTATCACAACGAGCTGAAATGCCAGGGTTCCCAGCAGAAACGGCCAGTGTCTCTGACCCGAGCACCCCGGAGAAGACAATAACCCTCCTTCCCTTAGAGAATGCAGCACCAACACAAAACGCCTGTGTGCCCGTTAATGCTTTACGGTGGAGAACTGCTGGCAGAGGCTGCGCTTGAGAAACACACCAACACAATCGGACTCATGACGTCAGAGACCCACAAAGAGCACATTCAGGGCCCAGCAAGAAACGCAGGCTGTGCACGTTACAAATTCTCAGCCACAGAGAAAGCCTGAGCCTATGTTTCTTTATTCAGTAAGTGATCATAAAGCAGGACACTGTCACTCTCGTCCCGTGGTCAGGTCCTCTCTTCTCTCGCCACGCCACGCCGTCCCTGTCCGAGAGATGCGAAACAGAGAAGCACTATTCCCAGAAAACCGGCCAAAGTTCAGGGTCCATTCAAGTGCAGAATGACTCATTCAGACCCAGGGAAGGGTAACAGATGTTGCAACTGTGTGACCACGATTTCCTCTCCTCTGACATTTTGCCGTCTGGGGGGAGAAAGGGCGGAAAAAGAGGGCGGGGCAACTAGAAACGCGTGAGTGAGGGAAAACCGTTCCTCTCCGGCTGAGCTGTCCGCACACTGAAGACCGCGTGGGCTGGGATACAGGGCGGCGTGCGAGGGCCTGGGTGCCCTGCACAGGGCACGCCCGTCGACACTGACTTTGCCAGGCGGCCCTCACTTTTCTTCAGGGCTCTAAGTCCCCCTGTCCTACCCCGACAGATGGACCCCTAGCGGCGGCGGCGAGCACAAGCACAGGGGCCTGGCAGAGTGATGAGGGCCAGGAAAGGACAGGTAGTCTCGAGTTCAGCCTGCCTGCAGCCTCCAGGGCAGCGGACAAGAGTGCTTTCTGGGGAGGGTCCCGAGTGTCCCCAGGACACCAAGGGCCACCCGTTGTGGCATCTGGCAGGACAGCCACATGGACCAGAACTGCCCTGCACTCCTGCCTCGGCCCCAGATGTGAGCCATGCAGAAGGCCCTGTGGAGGGATGTGTGTCCTCGGGGGAGTGCGGCCGTAGGGGGCAGGCACAGGAAGACTTGATCAGGACAGGTGAGCAGCAAACAAGAGTCTGGGGCAGGCTCATGGCCTCTGTCCACAGGCAGCTTTGGGGCCAGCCCTGCCTCCACACCTGCCCGAAACCCAAGGGCTCGGCCCTGCCAGCTGGCCCAGGGCCTCCTGGTCGACGGCTCGGCCTCATGCGCCCGGGTAGTCCCTCGTCTCTGTCCTCAGTAGGAATATGATAAGGCTTCCCGGTCAATTCTGAAAGTGCTGCGCAGAGGGGGGTGCTCAGTCTTGACACTCAAGGGGCGGCTTGTTGGAGAAACATGGCTGATGGGACTTACTCTGCTCCCTCCGAAAACTCCACTCTTCAGCCAGTAAGAAAAGCACAGAATCTTTCCCCAAAAGCGATCGCCAAGGAGACAACAGCCATAGAATCTGGGAAGCTGTAAGTGGCTGGCAGGGCAGAGCAGACCACACAATGGGTGCTGCCGATGCACTAGGGGCACGGGCTGGGGCGGAAGGTCTGTGCCCGAGGGAGGGGCTGAGCAGGGCTCTCTGGTGAAGGAACACGCTGAGAGAAAAGGGCCACAGGCCATGGCATCTGGGACTGCATGCAATGACCAGGCCCCGGCCGTCTTCCTCGCATCCTACTCTGTACGGGCCCGACATGCAGGAAAGCCTCCGCTGCGAAGACGAGAGGCAAATCCAAACGCGTGCTGTCTGCTGAGGCCCCCGCCATGCTCCCCACTGAAAACTGAAGGCTATGGGTGCTGTTCT